GATCACTGTCACCACTCACTATAACCCACCCCATCAGGGCAACCCTCCGACACGTGTTTGTGTTTTGAAGTGCAAGAGGCACTGTTGTGAGTGAATCGGGGCCACAGAGGCCTATAGTTCTTAAATCCTCGGGCCAAAATCCCCTGCAACTTTAAGAGAGCCCTTGACAACTCAGCAAGCACACAGAGCTTTCTTTGTCCCAGTCCCCACTGCTGAGAAAGAGCAGTAGCACGTCCCCTGCGCACACCAGTGGGAAAGCACAGACGGGGCCGTGCCACCAGTTTCCCTCTACTACCCACGGGAGCAGCACCGGGCAGGGAAAAGGGCTCATCGCTCCCCTTTAGGGTACAGCCATCACCCACCCTGCCCAAAACCAGCTGCTCACACACTTTAGAAGTTCATCCACTAATCCAAGTGACATGAAGGACAGATCACTGGTGTCAACATCACCCGCCCGACAGCAAACCGGCAACTGTACTCCGTAATTCCGCTTTCAAGACCAACAGCCTCCAGGATCCTTTGGCACTGGAAAGGCCTAGAGCTCCCAGGTTGACACACACAATTACAAAGTGGATCAACAGAACACATAATATAATTGTGTTAGTGCAGTGCAATTTTATTTGGGCAATACAAAGTGCAACAAACAGGATTAAACAGGCAACACTGACTACAACTTGTGGAGTGTCCGTCTGTAAAAGAGGATACAGTTTAGGATGGAACACACAAAGTTACCTACGGCTCTGAAGTAACTGACAGTTACTTCGGGTGGGGTGAGACAGCAAGTGAGACAGCTTATTTGGACCAACGCTGAAGTAAAGGATAATTTTCCTTTGTTAACCAAGGTTTCCCTGGTATAATTTCAAGGACCTTTTAAATCAAAATTTCAAGTGGAAACTCATTTTAATGTACAAAGTAAATCCAAAGTGAAGTGACATTGTTACAGTTCTGTCTCTTGCTGTAAAGCAGCAGGACTTCCAAGAGGCTGACCCACATGCCCAGCAGTCCATTTCATTAAGCACTGATGGTCTCTCAAGTGCTTTTACTCCAGGTGTGCCAGAGCTTTCATATGTATTACACACTCATCATTTGGCTCTGCAATGCAGCTAACCAAGTGCAGCTCTGCAGAGCTACTCAAGCTTGAAATAAAAAGGGTTTGGGTCTTGATCAGAACAAGCTTCTATTTTGAAAGTGAACCAAGCAATTTCTTCCTTCACGTTCTCTCTGGCTAACCCACAACATCTGCACTAATGAAATGTGTACCTCAGCCGGGTTTAAAAGAATTAGTTCCCCATCTCTCAAGTCAGCAATGATTAACTATCTTGTAATGTGTCACAATATGTTTCTAAAGATATCTGACCTACATTGGGCAGTTCTCATTAATATAAACAGCTTACAACATGAACTTTTTTTCTTTTTTTTTAAGACTGCAATAAAGAGTATCTATTAAGAGCAAACATGGCTGCAGATACAAGTCAAATGTCAGAAACAAGTCAACCAATTTGGAAAAAAGGCTTTAAAAGCCTCTACAAAGACACAAGGAGGGAGGGGAAAATGAAAACCAGAATCAATGGTGTAATTTGCCAAACTTTTTATCTAGGTTCTATTAATATACCACCTATATATACAGCTCATGTGTACTGAATAATATGCTGGACACTGCAAACTCACCTGAAGGCGTAAGAGCTTTCAAGCCTAATCTTCCATGTTCTGGTGAGGCTTTTCTGCTTATCACACAAGTAATACCTATGCCAGCCTTGTCCCCGGCACTATCGAGCTTCTAATAGAGTGTCAGAGGCTGCTCTGGTTCTGCAGTACTGCTGAGATCGTGTCCCTGCAGTGGGACAGTTCAGCTGCAGCTATAAAAATGGGGGTAATTAAACCTCCACCATACCCAGCCTTCCTAACCAAGGCTGCCCTGGAGTTAACCACGTCCACGTGTGTGTGCAAATAAAGTACCAAATTCAAATCTATGCAGTTGTCAACTTGCATGAAGAGGAAAATACTCATAGCTCCTCAGCAGCTGAAAATATTCATAATAGCACATGACTGGTTTTAACACAGAAACGACAACAAAATAATGCCATCCTCTGCCCACTCTCTTCCCCCCCCCCCTTTTTTTTTTTTGGTCTCCTGACAGTGAGGAGGGAGGGGAACTGTCTCATCTCTGCTAAACCAGCCCGGAAGACAAGAGGCACATGCCTCTTCCTTTCCAGCAAGATTATCTTTAGTCACCAGAAAAAAACCCAGTTCAAAAGCTATTCTAAAATACGCCATAAAGTTCTCGCCTCACAGCTCTCCCCTCCCTCCCCAGCGCCAGTACCCACAGGTGATTCAGCACAGCAAATGACAGCATGCCACGTGAGTTCATTTCTTAGCAGACTGCCTGCTCACATCACACAAGGAAGTGCTTTCACTCTGCCAGTAAGAGGAGGATCAGATCTTTTTTGTCCCACCAATTTCTAGATTAAGGTATTTACAGTGCTATCCACGTTACAATTACGTGTGCCTTTAAAGGCATTAAAAATAAAGATGTAACACAGCCTTTAATTATAGATATAGGGTTTAGGCTAGGTGAAGTGATGCAGGCGGTTCAAACTACTCCCCATTTCTTAAAAGAAAAAATATATTTATGTAAAACTACACAGGGCATCCCAACAACGCATCTCAATGAACAGGTCTGTGCAGCACATCAGATCCAGTCCACGGGATCACTGATCACTTTTAGATTTCCAAAGACCTGATGTGAACTTGATCCAGAGCTACGTCTTTACTAGCAGAATATTTATTTTGTGATCTCAACTAAAAGGTCAATATTCCAATCTAAGCTTCAGGAAAGCTCTCAATGGGAATACATCTGACAGTGTCTGTGACTCAATATTCCCTACTTCACCCATTGTACTGCATGCGGCATTTAGGAATCAGAACGTTTATGGAGACGAGTTTCACAAAACTTAATAAAACCTAATCATCAGTGTGGATTACAGACATCATTCCCACTTTACCTGGAGAATCAATGTATTGAAGGAAGACAGCAAAACAAGATAGTGTGCAGCACATTATTTTATTGCACTCATTCTTGTATACACTATCAGTTATTTCCACACTACTTTATTTACACAGAATCCAGATTCAGCTACTTTAATCATTCACTACTACTTAAATATTATTATCAGTGAATTAGCTGCTTTATCAGTTAAACTGGTATCCAGGATATCAGAGAACTCAAGATTTATCAATATTAACTTTGAGATGAAAGCCAGTTGCAAGCAGATTGCACTACAGGTTAACCATCCTTACTGATTCTCTCATCTGCATCTGCCCTCATCATTACGGAGCAGCTCTCATGCCATGTGCTCCGTTCCTCCCAACACCTCCACCTCACCAGCTGAGAGTAGGCAAGACTGGATTAGGCCAAGTGATCTGGTATGATTCATAGTGGAAGGACACTGCTCCCTCTTAGCTCCAAAATAAGGCCAATAACCTTTCAACAGACATTAGGAATCACCACTTCTCAGCTCTGGAAAAAAATCATAGCATCAATCATATATCACTGTTTGAATCTGCTGTGGTGTTTTTTTTTGTTGGGTTGGTTGGTTTTGTTTGTTTGCTTGGGTTTTTTGCTTGTTTGTTTTTCTATATTTTGTTTGTTTTTAAATCATTAGCTATATACAACATCAATTAGGAACAAGTACCGTTCTCTCCTAAAACATACAAGACCTCACAGTTTATAGAAAAGTTACTTTTATTACAAAGCATGGAAGCTGAACACCTGTAGCTAGTTTATATGGTGTCCTAATGAATGACACCATTTGTTCTCCTTTCAGGCAACCAGGCAGTTCACATAAAAACACGTAAACATCTATGCACACCCAACATAAGAAATTAATATTGCATTCAATACGCATCTCAAGTACAATAGAAGACTGATGAAATGCTTAGTTACTATTCTTTTCCTTCCCTCATCCCATATTAGAAGTTTACCAGAAAGTTATGAAAGGTATGCATTGCAGAGCTGGCTCTTCCTATTTCTAAATTTAATCCTCTCCTTTTCCCATGTCCATACAGCTATCAGTAACACCTGCTGCCCAGATAATGCCAATGCACCAGCTCAGCCACAGCCACCCGCCTGCCCCACTGCCCTCAATTCCACCTGTTCAAGACAGTTTCTCTGAAGCAGCATTGCAGTACTATTCTAGTAACACAAAGCTCACGTAAGCACTGATACTTTTTCTTCTGAGTGTTAAGTAACATTCAAGTTGTACACAGGTTTAGGCTTTGAACGACGTAATGAATGTTGTGGAGTCCCTTTTCACAGCCATCTTATTCTAAGACCAGTTTCACCTTTAGCTAACTCCATGCAATTCCCGATTCCACCTGCAAAGCTGTACAGCAACAAACTAGAATCCTTTACTAGTTCTTCCTCTCCTTCACAGAAAAGGTGAAATCACCAACTCACATTGCACCTAGACCAGCCAGCTCTGTACTGGCAAGATCCAGCTAACTTAAACACCTCTACAAATCTAAGGCAAAGATACAAGACTGAGCTTGCTTGCCTACACTTGCAATCAAGCATTTAGTTATCAGTCCCCAGAAACCAAGCCAGGTTGATGCCTGAAACACCTTTGATCAGATTTCTCCCAGGGTTTTGCTTTCTGAAAAGTTCTTGCAAATATTTTTGTCAATCACTGTGTTTTGTTTCCAACTCTGACAGTCTTAACAGCTATTTTCCCCTCCTAGTAATCCTTCTACTTGCAGTGACTGTATAAGAACACCAAAGTTAAACAGCTACATTAAAAACTTCACTGAGAAGCTACTGAAATGAAAGACAAAATGCAGTAACAGTTTTTGCAGATGGTCTCAGTTTCAGAGGCACTACAATTGCACACACACAAACATCCCTCTCCCTTTCCAACAGTAAGTCAAGCTTAAAAGATCACACCCTTGTTTCCAGCATTACGACAGTCTTGCCTTGTTCACAGCAGTGAACAGTTCCTACTTACATATCCCAACAATAACAGAGGACGTGTGTTCCAGTCGCAAGTAGAAGAGAAGATTGTAAAAATTGAAACAGATCAGAGAGAAACATAAGATGACAGAGATCCATTCTTGTAGTCTCTTTCCTGTTGGAAAAAAAAAAAAAAAAAAGGAAAAAAGCATGTTTTACTTCTATCTAAGACGACATTTTGAAGTCTGAAATAATACAGACACACTATTCTGATGCCTGCATGACTCATTCTGTATGTCTGACAGGGAACTGAAACAGAAACTTATTTATCCATGGGAGGCATAACTATTTTGTTAAATGGCATTCCTCTTCCACTACTAACCCCTTCCCTCTGCCCTTGCTGAAATAACAGGGACAAATCAGACATTATCTCACACTGTCCCAGTTTCCCTTTCCCTGCAGGTGCTGCCATAAAGTTCCTCCACATCACATCTTTTTTCAAATTTGCATTTCATTTGATATTCAGTGTTGCTGGTATGGCTGAATCTGGGAACAAATTTCTGGCTTTATGACCTGTAATATTTAAAATCTCAGAGCTTGTAAATAAAGCTGTTGTACTAACAGGAAAAAGCACCACCCTGTATATCGGTGGCCCTAGAATCACTTTCCTAACACTGCAAGTATACCTCCTAAGCTTGCTTACTTAACTCCTGCAGGATTGTCTTTGCCTTCCTGCTCCCAGGCAGAAGGCTACAATCTCTCAGCCATTCTGAGACAAGAAGAGACAGAATAAGCCAAGAGAAAGAACTGGCACAAATTCTCTCTTGTATCTTGCTGTACTGCTTTGTACCTCTACAAAAACCTCATTTATTGCCTATAAAAAGAGAACACACACATCAGAGTATGGTAACACTTTGAATATTCAGATTAGCAGCAGGAAGCTTCTGCCTGTCAATCACTGCTAGATCCTCACAAGCCACTGATGCAGAGAGCCAGGGAACACTCAAGGCGAGACCCGTATGCATTAAGGCATCAGAAACAGACCTTTAGTGCCCGAGTCCAGGAAGGAGATCTGAGCTGCCACCCCAGCCCAGCGGGGCCCCGGCTGTAGTGAGCTCTTAACATGCTCAGGAGCAGACAGGTCAGTCTTCACCTATTTGAGTGGGCCAGCCAGCACAGCTGTGTCTTGCCCAGGGCCTCCCAGAGCAGTTAACACCCCAGTCCATTCCCTGCTCCCTCCTGCAGCCTTATACACTTTGCACCACTCGAGCCTGAGGCAAAGCAAAGTGGAGCAATCAGGAAGGACAACATGCGAGGCGCACATCCTCTCACAGGAGCAGAGGCACTCTCACCTGTCTGGCATGTGTTCAGGACAGGAGCTTCTTTCCTACTACTCCTCTGTTGACTTACAGCCTGATCAAATATCTCCTAAATGCTAAATCAAGTCCTTCTCAACTATACCATGCAATGTAAAGGAAACTAGGAACATCAAAGGAGGATCAGTATTATCTCCAACGTGCCTACAATGCAACATTTTAAAGAAGTGTGAACAAAGACCTTTACAGTTCAGACTTTTGTTCTAGAAAGGTCATGAGTATATGAATTAACATCCTCTGCAGTAGCAAAGATCAGAATCGTAAAATTAAATTAAGACACAAGAACAAGCATTCTTCAAGACTGCATCAAGTCACAATGTGGGAGATTCTATAAAGAGGTCCCTGGAGTAATGAAAGGAAGAGTTAATTAACACTCACTTCCTGCATAAGAAAACCACACCCTGATTAGAGGAGCTAAGTGGGTAGATCCTCATGGAACAATTAGCTGACTGAGAGGAAACCCTAGACTCCTTACTAGCAAGTCCCGTGAGTTCAGTCTATGCAAACACCACTGTAGTCTGAACACAGGGATCCCAAGGCAACTGTTTGGAGATATCGGAGCCCAGAAATGCAGCCCCAGCTCTGGGCAGACTGGGAAGCAAATCAGTCAAACGAGTGGAGTCAGCACCCGTAACTTGGGCTTAAAGAGCACTCAAATTTAAAAGTATGTCCTGCATGGGGGAATAAGGTGCCCAAGCCACAAAGTATACGCTTAAATAAATCATGGAAATCCTCCAGAGTCATATGCACTCTGCACAATTATATGTAATCCCTGTTCTTAAGAATTCAGTAGTTCAACATCACATGCTTCCACCGTAACACATATTCTGACGCTTATGCAGGTTATTCATAGAAGGCCAGAAAAAAACTGCATATCTAATATATTATCACAGCTCACTCCTGATAAATACCACTGTACAGCGACTACTTCCCAGGAAGTTCCATCTACAGCTAAAGAAAAAGGTAGCAAGTTGTTTGAGGAGAATCTTTTCCTTACAAGTAAGAGCACGGTGCAATAGTAAAGTTAGTGATTGCTTTTCTGTAAAGCACAGGAACCAGTCACTGCCTGGATCAGAACTGCATATCTAGAGCAGCTGAAAGACGTCACACACCACCTTATCTCAAGGCAAGAGGTGACTGATACACGCCGAAATGGGCAGACTTACCCTGAACAGTCTAGAAAACTGACAAATTAAAGAATTACTGTGTTTTCTTATCATTACTTGGCTGTGTGCAAGTATCATCTGCTTTTCCAGTAACTGCCTTCAATGGGCAAGCTAAGCTGTTCAGCTGACCTGCTGGGAAGAGCAAGATGCTAAAAACATGTCTTCCCTCTCCTAATCCTTCACCTGCAAACAAACTCACTGGGAAGAGCAAGAATACCCTTAGCATTGCGCACACTGCGAGCTGAAAAAAAACGGCATATTTTGATTATGCTATGGAAATAAACAGCAAATTCCTTATAATAAATAGCTGCCATCACTTTATTAAGCTCTGACAAATAAGCTTCAGGAAGACAAGACTAAAGCAAAAAGTCAACATCCCTCTCTCCCTTACTGAGGTGCCAGGGTGGGTATCTCTGAGTAGTTCACTGAATATTTAAAAAGCGAAAGCTTCAGCTGTTACCTTGCTTAGCAACCAAATTTGTACCTCGGCTTCTGAGTGGAAAAATTAACTTTTTGTTTGCTTTTAGAGGGAAGAGCAGCCCTTCGGGGCAGTTTCTAGCCTGCAGACCTGCACCCCGGCAGCACAGCCCGTTCCTCTGCCTGCTCTCAGCAGCCGCACTCGCCAGCTCTGCCCAGGCCGAGGCGAGGGGGCCGCGGGCATGCGGCGTCCCACCGCCGCCAGCCCCGGGCCCGGCCCGGCCCCCGCCGCTCCGCCGGGTCTCCCGGGGCCGCGCCGGGAGGGGCTGCACCGCCTCAGCGCGGCCGGGGGGCGGGGGGGAGGCGGGGGCCTGAGGGGAACCACCCCACCCCCCGCCCTCCCCGAGGTGCCCCCCCACACCCCCGAGGGGACCCCCCCGCCCCCCGCCCCGGCCCCCCGCGGGGCGCAGCCCGCCGCCCTCACCGGGGGAGTAGAGCTCGGCCAGCTCGCGGGCCCCGGCGTGCTGCGCGCCCCACCGCCGGCTGCCGCCCTCGGGCTCCTCCGCGGCCTCCGCCGCCGCCTCCGCCCGGCGCGGGACGCTCCCGGCGCCGCCGCTCGCCATGGCCCGGCCCCGCGGCGGCGGCTCCTGCTCCTCCTCCTCCTCCTCCAGGCCGGCGGGCGGCGGCGGCGAGCGGCGCCCAGGCCCCGTCCCGGCGCCCGGCGGCAACGCTGCGGCCCGCGGCAGCATCGCGAAATGGGGCCGCGGCGCGGCGCTGCGCTGCGGCGGGGCGGGGGAGGGCGGGGCTGGGGAGGGCGGGGCGGGGGAGGGCGGGGCTGGCCACGCCCCGGCACCGCCTCCCCGCCTATCGCCGGCGCCGCCGCGCTGCCGGCCGGGCCAATGGGACAGCGCCGCCCGGCGCGGAGGAGCCAATGGCGCGGCGGCAAGGGTCGGCGGCGCAGCTGGAGGAGCCCCCGCCCCGCGGAGCGCAGCTGGCGGCGGGAGCGGGCGGGGCCGGGGCTGGACCGGGGGGGCTGGGGGGGGCAGGTCGCGCCGGTGCCACCGCCCCGCGCTTCCCGCCAACCGCCCCCCTCCCCCCCCCCATCCCGGTGCCTCGTGCGCCCCCTGGCGGCGCTGCCGCCCCCCCCCCCCCCCCCCCCCCCCCCCCCCCCCAAGCGGCGCGCGCTGCCGGTAGACATTAGGCGCGCGGTGCTAATTAGGGCTGCCGGGGTTTGCTGTGACACGCCGAGACCGTAATCGTGCCAATAAAATATTTTTCGGTCCCTTTGCCGGGCAATCCCGGCCGTGCTCCCCCACAGACGCGGGTAAAGCCACCCGTGGACGCGCTCACGGGTCCCAAATAAATACACTCCGGCACGGAATGAAAATCAAAAAAAGCCCCTAGCAATATCTAAGTACTACGTTAGGGCTATAAAACAAAATGATTTCTGCAACAGATTTATTTGAATATCAAATAAAATAGCACTAAAATAATAAATATTTCAAACAACTGGATGGATTTCACCTAAACATTGCAAATCGATCCATTTACAGAGGGTGAAATACTAAACCAGATGTCTGTATCATCCAAAGGTTTGAAAACGATCCGCCACGGTGAATAACGCTTCTCTCTGCCTCGCCAGCAAGGCCAAAACGGCGGCAAAGCACAAACCCGCGGCCCAGCACATCGCACCTGCCCCGGGGGAAAGCGCTGGTCCTGCGCCTGCGGGATGCGGCCCGGGGGCCGCCCTGCCGGCTCCCCCTCCAGAGAGCTGGAAAAGAAACGTCAGTTGTCCCAAACCGCCCGGGAATTTCCCCAAACTTGCCCAAGCAGACAGCGCAGGGCTGCTCTGCGCTGCCACTTCATGGTGCTCTGGAATCACCGCGCCTCCGAAGCAGGCTAAAAGGCGTGTGCCTCCCAGAGCCTGCCCTGAGTTTGGGGGGTCACAAGTTAATTAATGTTTAGCTGGAATTACATGCTCAAATTAGAGGTTCTTAAGGGAAAAATGGCTCAGGAATTCAGTGAGTCCTGGACTCATGAAGAGTTCTGGAAACTATAAGTGATAACGATTTGCTGCTGACACAGAAGAAGGTATTTATCTGAGGGAGGGATTTTTCTGTTTTCTGTTAATAGGGTAATAAGCCAATTAAAAGGCATTAGCTTGGGGTGCCTCTATTTGTTGGACTGGGCTGTGTTTAGACTGAGGGATGGGAACATTCTGGCATTGGGGGATGCCAATGTTGTCATTAGACTTTTGTGAAGTTAGGCTGCTCTGAGGCTGAGGGTTTTGCTAAGATGCCTTTAGAGTCACAGTGGCCTCAATAACGTTAGTACGGGAGTGGTGTGAATGTAAATGAATTAGTGTCAGTTCAGCATATGGCACCTTTGAATGTGCTCTGAGATATGTGACCATACGTCCCCTTTATGAATGTGTAAGTTAGAGAAAAGATATTAGTGGTTTTAACTGAGGTACAGTTTTCAGGAGGGTTTCCCAAGACATCTTCAACATCTGTTAGTCATCTTGTGTGGTCGAGGCAAAAAGGGCTGTCAGTATAAAGAAAAACAGCATATTGCTAGCGAGGTTTGGCTTTGGGTGGGTTATCAAATTCTCTTGGAAAATGGTTATTAGTTTTGCTTTGGTATTGGCTGGAATGAAGCTGCATCTGTCTGCAATAATGTCAGTGCAGCTGCCTAAAGACAGTCTTTGCAAAAGGGAAAAGGTGCTTTGAAGCCCCTTCTAATCTCACCTCAGTGTGACAGGACAGACCGTTTAGGAGAGGGTTTGGTCCTTCCCTAGAGACGAAGGAGCATTTCCGACACATCTCAAGAACGTTCTTTTTTTTTTTTATCATTATCTGGGGGAGCAGGGAGAAACAGTAAGTTAGTTCACAGACGCTGGTGAAACCCCAGGAGCTGGTGCAGCCGTAGTACCGCCACATCCCACGAAAGGATGGAGCCACGGGAATGGAGCCCTGCGGGAGTGCGACGCCTTTTCGCAACACCCACTTCAGAGGGATGTATCAGGCAGCCTGCCGGCGACCGGGCACCGGCACGGCTCGGGCAGGGCCGCCGAGGCTCTGAGCAGCCGCCTGGGTTAGGGGAGCGAGTGATCCTGCAGGAAACTCCTGATGCTCTTTGGGGAAGAGAAGGACCAGATCGGGATGTGGTAGACAGGCCCTGGCCCCGCCCCCCGCCCCTGGCCCCGCCCCTGGCCCCACCCCTCGGCCCCGCCGCCGCCGCGCGCCGCTAGGTGGCGCTCCAGGCCCGCTGACGGCGCGCGGGCGGCGGGGCAGCGGCGCCCACGGGAGACCCTTCCACGCTGCGGGGCCCGTGTAGCCTGGGAGTTACCGCGCACATCGCCCCGGGGTTCCGTGGGTTCCTCGGGCAGGAGCCCACCCGCAGCAGCGGGGGCGCACGGCGGGGGGCCGCCCACACCCCCCACCCCCCCCCTCAAACGCTGACAAGGGTTTCAGCGGGCTCGGCCCCGGCCCCTGCTCCACCACGCGAGTCCACAGTTGTCACATCACCTCGAGTTTCCCACCCGCTGCCCCCTCACGCCTCCGTCCCCGACAGCAGCCCAGGGCTGCGCTCAGGCCCAGGCCTCTCGCCCACTCGGGGGCCACCGCGGCCTCTGCCCGGAGCCACGGGGGGAGCAGAACCCGCCCGCGGTTCCCTCGCCGGACTCTCTCCGGCATGGGAAAGTGTCAGTGGGTGGGAGAGCTGGAATAGCCACTCCTACGGCTCCCCGTCCACAGCCACAAACGCGAAGGCAGGGAGATGCCAGGGAGCGAGCAGCAGGGTGTGCGGAGGCCGGCGCGCTGCGGCTGCCCCCCACGCCCCGTCCCCCACGGCGGCTGCCACCGACCAGCCCACGGGCTCTTCTGGGATGCCGCTACTCACAGCCAACAAGTCCTAACGGATTCCCTGGCAGCCCCGCTTTCCCCGTAGGGCTCGACGCACGATGGGGGGGAAAAAAAAAAAAAAAAAAAAAAAAAAAAAAAAGAAAAGTATTTACATAGACCTTTAAAGGGCACAGACCTTTAATGCTTTTCTTGAAGAAAAATCTGTTAATTCTTCACTTAAGCCCACTCTCCTGTCACCCTCTCTCAGACTTCCCTTGTTTTATGTTGCCCCTGACAATACACACCATGAAGTTCCAGCCACCTGGCCCACAGCCTCAAGACCTCTGAACAGTTCTCCTCTTTTAGAAAATTCCGTTACTGGGAACTTCTGACACTTGGCAGGGTATCCTGGAAAGATAGGATTCCTGTTCCCTTGATGTACTTTTTGAAAGCTTGAATATGCTAGAAAAAAGCACTAATATGTGATTTGTACAAATTCATCAAAGTAGGAGGTTACGATTACCCAGGGAATGTCAGAGAACTATGGAGAACTTCTGGAAAGTCAGTGGACTGCAACTTTGCTGCTGGTTTTTGGGTTTTTTTGTTTTTGTTTTTTTTTTTTTTTAATACAAGGAAACAGGCTACTCATAAAACACAAAGTCACCTCTTACTGTCCCTGCTTGGAAAGACAGCCCATGTCTTGCCAGCCAAATGGCTTCAGCATGGACTTTCTCTGCAACATGGGACTGGAGACTGTAGCTTCTGCTTTGCCACTGTTCCCTTCCACGGGTGTCTGGGTGCTCTCTGCCTTTCCTTTCGCAGAGCTGCAGAGTGCTCTGACCTCCAATTTGCTCTGGAAAATTTTCAGTCTGGTAGGGGAAGGTATTTCACTCATGTTGTCCCACCGGCTGGAGGCAGTGGTGCCAATCTCCAGATGTCGTCTCTGTCGCACTCGGCAGGGCAAAGAGCAACATGTAGATAAAGCCGGGATTGAGCAACGCGACACTGGCAAAGGCCAAGCATGCTAGGTCAGAGGTGAGCAGAAAATCAGCAGAAGACCAACAAATACCCAAGCATCACCATGTCACAAGGGAATGAGGGGTGAGGGAGCACTTAGGCAGGGGGAGGACTCTGGTCTGGAACAAAAGAAGCGAAGGAGGCCAGGAGACATGGCCTGCAACTGCCTGGGGAGCTCCCTGCCACGGGGGACTGCAAGGCAGAGTATCACAGCTGCGGTTTCAGAAGGGAGGAAAGCATGTGGCAATCGTTTTTTATGTTAAAATGAGGCAAAGTCTTGAGCCTGGTCTAAAAGCTGGGGGAGACGGAAGGAGAGCCAACCTCTCTCCGAGTTGAGACATTGTCCCTGTCTTGAACATTTCATAAGTTCTGTTATTTCACAGTGGAGAACAGCAATTGGAAAGCAATGGATTGAAATCTGGCCTCTGCCAGGTACAGCTTATGAGTTGTTATTGGCATAAGGTGTGTGGCTGTATAAAGAGGGACCTGGGGCTAGGAAGAAGAAAAAACAGAGCGCACAACATGCTCAGAAATAAATTTCAATTTTACTTCTCTATTTTGCTGCCTTTATTGCAACATTGCTCCACTTAAGCCAGTCTTTCAGGCAAGGTCCCCTCGTATCCCCCAGAGCCTTTCTCACACCACCTCTGTGCTCTCTCCCAGCCTGCCTGCTCACATGGATACCACTCTGCTCTGGAACCCCTCACAGCCTCCTCTTTAGCTCACCTCCAACGTACCACCTACAGCATCTACTTCGCTGATGCAAGCTCCAGCATTAACTTCTTCCCTCTGCTCCTCTTGGGCCCCTCCATGTTGTTTCAGACCGCAGGTCTATGGGTCAGCAGCTGTGTTCACACAGGGTTTGGCGTGATGCAGCTCTGATCTTACTGATCTGCTAAGAGCTACTGCAAGGGAAATA